ATTAACTCTCTTCTAGACAGAAGACCTTATTATTCACTATAAAATATAGAGAAACCTTATTGGTCATCTTAAAGGCTGCTAGTCCAACGTTAAGTCAATAAATATATTCCTGTGACGAACAATCCTTGGTTCAGTCAGTTGTGACCAGATTCTTAAAGTCACATTCCAGAAAGCTTAGCTACCTTTGCATAAGGACCTGCCTTGGCAGCTTTTCCCAGAAGAGGCCTGTAGGTCTGCCAGTTGCTCAGAATTTCATGAGTGGTCCAGTCACAAACAGAAGATGCTCCCAAAGGTAAGTATGAGACCTTCATCAGTAATTTTAAGCACAGCTTTACTAAAGCAGCACCAAATTCTAATTGGATCTACTAGACTTAACTTAAGGAGCCACAGTGGACTAATTCTAATGTGCTGTCGCATCCAATATATCAGCACAATATTATACGTAAGCAAGGGTGTGTGTGTATAATGTGTAAAATGGGAGAAGGGGTGGGGATGTGAGAGTAGGGTGGTGGACTGAAAACATTATTTTAACCTTGTTTATTGTACCATAACAGGTCTTGGTATTGCCCCTCAAGAAAGACATAAGAGTAGAGAAGGAAAGGTAACTAAATAAGCAAAAGAGAAAGAGGTTGCCATGCTGGTAAAACTAGATCCTAAGGTGAAAGGAAACTTAGAGGTCAGCTAATACAACTCCCTAAACCAAGGGGAATGCCATTTCCATTGTCATCTGTGAGTATCAACTACCCTCAAAAGGATAGTTCAGAAGATTATCATTCCTCATTTTGCAAAGATGAAGACAGAGAGGAGAGAAGTCAAAAGTATTAATGTGGGAAGGGTATGGGTAGGCTATATCAGATGCAGTCACCCAACAGCAGAATATCAGACTTAAGAGCACCTCTTGAACCTGGGACATGGGCGTGTATTTGGGGCATTTAGCATGGCACAGATGGAATGTGAAATAGACTTCTCGTCCTGAGACCTAGATTCTAGGCCACTCTCCATCATTATTAACTAGCTATGTATCACTGAGCTGTACACATGATTTCTTATCTGTGAAATGAAAGGGTAGGATTAAAAGTTTCCTACATTATTTTCCAGAAATAAATTACTTGATCCTAAAGAAAATATTTACTTCTGACAATGGATGAACTGTAGAACAAATTACTCTAAGGTTGTATTGGTTAAAAATAAAAATACCTTTGGGGGATGTTGATCACTACTTCTGCAAAGAACTAAATTCAAAATCTTCATTACACCATTGGAACCTTAACTTTGATACAATCAACAGGCTTACTCATACATAATTTAGCCCCCTAAGGCCTATCTCTTGCTCATCTCTCTGCCAAAAGTGCTTATTTGTGTGCCTGTGCAGTGACCAACCTAGACTTGGTACATGTGCTGGGTGGAACTGGCTGAGTTGAAAACCATGGCATAGGTGCCAGTGGAGTCTGCAGTGGAAGACTTGATGCCTCAGACGTTGCCAGTGGAGCCCTGCAACTTGACAGAAAATTTAGCTCCCTCTCTATCCCCAAGGATGCCTCAGGAATCCCTGAGGCCAGTCTAGATTGAAGTAGCTCAATGTCCAGATGTGGTAGCTCACATCGACCCAAAGAATTTGAAAAGGAAGCAAAGTGTGAATGTTTCTCTTTCAGAATAAAAACCTGTTCCTAAAGGATATTCCTCCAAACTTCAGAGGCAAGAGCAACAAGTAGCACTGTTTTCAACTGTTCAACAGAGCGTGAACAGACACTGAAGTCACTGGAAATCTCAGCAGTTGGGTAGTAACAGGATCATGCCTTTCAACTATGTAAAATGTGTAATTATTTCTCCTTTCCCGGGATAAATATCCTTCATTCTTCCAAAATTTGAAGACGAAGAAAGCTGTAAAAACTTTTGTCTGGGTGAAATGTTATATGCAGAAGGGGCTGTTGGATCAGCTACAAATTAAAGTCCTGGGATGGATTATACCCAGATTGGTTTTCCTCCCTTGCTTCTTATTGTTAGCAGAATAAATCAGTCAACAGTAACTAGTGTCTTGGAATTTATGAGTAACTGGCTTAGAGAAAGAGAATTATTACAGAATTGGGATGATGACTTTATGCTTTATTGGCTTGTCTTGGAAAACCTTTATTACCTGAGGATCATTCACTAATTTGGCAGCTTGCAAGAAGGTGCTCTGAAGTGAGGCTCTTAGTGGGCAGCAAAGATGAATTTGAATTTATTAATCTGCTTGGTTAGCAGGTATTTTCACCAATGTGATTTAGATGATAAGCCATCTTGATGTAGCTGATCTCAGGGATAGAAGATACTTGTGATGATGGCAGCCTAAGTCTGAGGCAGTGCAATGACAATTCAAGTGCAAATTGCATCGTATCTTCAACACTATGCGAAGGGTCCTCAGCTTAGCCTGTGTAACTCAAGCTGATATTCAGAAGACAGACTGTATTGATTTGAATATCTGAGTGTCTTTGGAAAATCCCACCCAGTTTCTGATGGACAGTTTAAAGAGTTTTCTGAAATCAAATGTTTTTAAAACAAATTAAGTGCCATTTATTGATGAAGCATCCTGCAGAGAAACTGTATGATGAAATTTTACAGAGGTCCTTGGTGCTGTTATATTGTTTATTTACATATACACATATAAAAATTGAATTGAAAATGTGAAAAAAATAGCTTTCAGGGATGTGGAGCTCAAGCTTTCTATTACATTCTCCTCCACTAAAAATTATGTCGTTATTGTGGCTTCCCCATAGACCTGTTCCACATCTTCTTCTCTGGGCCCTATATTTTTCTTTATAAGATCAGCTTGCTTGTTCTGGGTCCCTCCCACAGACTCGTTGCTGGGTTAGAGAGGTGCTAACGTTCACAAGGATGATATCAAAGCTATTATGTAGCTGTACCTTGTACAGGTTGTGCACTGCACTGGAGCACCCAACTGAAGGAGCAAGTGGGGGCTGCAGGGTGCCTTTGTGTGGGTGCATCTACCTTAAGGCAGGCATGCCTTTTTTCCAATTCACTCTAGGGTGTAGTATGGGCTTGAGGTGTTCTGGGAAGCAGGAATTACCCATTTGCTGCATGATCTGAAAAGGTCTGACCTATACCAACATTGTGAATATCCATTCCTCAATGCCAAACATCACAAAACTAATTACAAGGGGCTCTTTCTGGGGGGCTAAAAAATAAATAATACAAAGCAGTTCCACTTAAGGGGTAAAACATTCTAGGCAGCTCAGATTAAACTTCTGTATCAGCCTATTTTGTTGAATAACAGTACATTATCATGGGAGGACACATTTTTTAAACAAAATTTATTGGTCAAAATTTCCTCAGGGCTAACTTGCACTGAATCCCTGCTGAATGATCTCAAAGGAATAAAGCAAATTACATACACTGCATTAGGCCTTAGAATGCATGGTGCAGTAAAAAGCAGATTCAGACACTCTCTGTAGGTGCCATGCTTGACAGAGAATGGAAAATCTCATTGAAACACTTGTTGATATTCTTTGTCTCTCATAAAGAATTCGATACACTTCTCTGCAGATCTACTTGTGGTTTGGAATGAAAATGTGTTGTGTAAGGCTGCCCTAGAATTTCATGGAAAATGTAAATTGTCCAAGCTCTCTTCCAAATACAATCAGACTTAAAGTGGTTCCCATAGCTCTCCCCTTCAACCATAAGATGTTCCCATTAGTGCCAATTAATGCTGAGACCCTGGCAGCCTGTGTGCATGATTCATTAATGAGAAGCCTCATTTACAGCTGAGAAAGCAATGCAATGTAGCAGCTGTAATAATTTCTCACCTCCTCTGCAAACTGCTGACCTCTCACCATGGATAAGCTGCCCTCCCTTTGGCCTATGGCAGTGTGTGCTCAGGGGACAGTGGACAATGGCAACAATGATGGTGAAATTCTACTTAACATTCCAGCTTCCATGCTTACTTGAGACCAAATGTGAGACTGAGACTCTAACCTTCCTTTCTCAAACGAAATTTCTAATTCAATTAAAGATGGGACAGAGAAGCCGAAACCTCTATTACTCTACAATACATTGCTTTTCTACAAGATACCCACTTCATCAACAGCCTCTAAATCTGTAGAATATATTGCTAGTCTCATTACTAACATGACTCCAGTAATCAAACTGGCTCAACCAATTTATAACCAGGCTGTGTAAAAGATGCTGGTTTATACAATCTACATATATATATATATTTAATTATGTCCAGATATTTCATTGCTATGACTCCAGATACCATAGTTATTTATTAAATGGTAACAACCAAGTTACCATTTTTTTCCTATCCAGATGCTATCTTATTCTGCAACCTAAACAGGGGTACAAACAAGAAGTGATTGGACACTGAGTGCCACCCACAGTCTCCCAGATCTGCCATAGTCAGAAGATTAGGGAGAAGGTACCCCTGAGTCCAACAAGCCCGGTCGCAGTCATGCTATTCAAAATGAGAAAGGGACTCTCTGCTTCTGAGAGAAAAACATTCAAGGCCCAGAAATCCCTTTTATCCATGAACTTGGCAGGCATCTTTCTCCCCATTCCTATCCTTCTTGCTCCTAGAAGTGAGCGTGAGACACTCATCAGTAGAGTTGTTTTAAGTCTTGCTTTACTTGAAGCAGCATCAAATTCTAAACAAAAATCTTTTGGCTTTAGTATTAATTTTCATTTATCTCAAGAGGGAGCTGGGCTGAAATACAATTTTGTACTTTCTACAAACAATAGTGCAAGTAACACTGAAGGGGAAGCATTTATGTTACTTAGGATAATCAATTGCTTTTCAAGCACCATTAAGCCTTTTAGAAATGGTACATTTGATCAATATCCCAGCTGTGCTATTAACAAGTATGTGACCTCAGACAAGTCCCTAACCCTCTTTAGGCCTCAGTCTGTTCATCTGTAAAATGAGAGCACTAGATTGGATTTTCCCTATGGATCCTTGTAGCTCTAAGAGGCTATGATTCTATACATTAGTTGCAAATGACTCTTACCTCGGTGATAAAAATCAGTGGTCTGAAACACTCTTGGAATCAAGGCTGTTTCCAGCTTTTTTTCTCCTGGATGAAGATGGAAATAGCAATCATTACCTGGGGCCTTGGGGGCTACTTGCTTGTACTCAGGCTTTCTGAAAAGTTGAGATGCATTAATTGGCTATCTTCTGGGTCTAAATCTATTTCTAAATTGATTGGGGATTTTATATTTTTCCCTATGAGATCCAGTGACAGCTAGGTACTCAAAAAAATTAGAGTTAAACAAGGAGACATAGTTCTGCCCCCTGGAGGGCTCCACCTACAACAAACCTCAACCTGGCTCAAGCCTCTGGTAATTTTCTGGAGAATGCAGGGACCAAAATTTACCCAGGAAAGTTATACATTTCTGATATGTTTAAATAAATTGAGGCAGAATTTTATGTATCTCATAGAGTCAAGATGATGGCAAGTAAACTGTATTAGTTAAACTAAGATTTATTATTAATCATCCATACCCAACGTGGCGAAAGTTATCCACGAGGCTATATATCTTTTTATGTTTGTGACTTTTCATTTTTAAAAGCTATATATGTTAATACCTGAAGGATTCAGAGGCTATAATGCTGTTTACTTTTAATAAAGCTATGTAGTCAGATTAAGCACAGGTTAATAATACCAGTTTGTTCTTTTCAGAGCAAAGCAAAAGCCTGTGGACTTATGGACAGAAGTTTCACAAGGTTAACTGTCCTTACAAACCTCTACTACAAAGAATGATAGGACGTTGGCTTCGTTTCCTCGATGGCTATATCAGTGGAGTAAGTTCTGTAATTTCATTTCTTGAGCAAACTATTCAGATAATCCTTCACACAGGATTATAGCTTCTATTAAAAATGTGTATTCTTTCCCAAAGCCTTTTTCCTCTCTTGTTTTAATATGAAACAATATCAGAGCATTGGGAAAGAATTATTATCCTTGTCAACATCCTTAGGGGGCCTGACTAATATAAGAACCACTTCTTCCTGACTAATGATATTACAGGCTGCAGGAGCCTTCCCCAAACAACCCTGTAATTCAAGTCCTTTGTATCTAGTGTGTTTTTGACAGACTGGTTAATAGTGTCTGCTAAAGAAAAGTATTCCTCTCAATTTCAATCACAAAGCAACCTCTAAGGAAATTCTCAAGTCTGTTAAGTAGGCTAGACTTAAAACGTCATACTCACCTGTGACACTCTTGCCTCAATAGAGATGTTGCTTATGAAAGCGGAGCCTATACAAGGAAACGTGGAGTATGAATGACAACTAAAGGCCGTGCACTGTAGTACAGAGGAAGACAAACAGATGAACAGTAAAAATCTTAAATTCTTCTTCTACATGATAATACAAGTAATAATGAAAAGCTATAATAAAAGTTATATATTGAGTACTTACCTAATGCTAGAAAATCTTCTAAGTGTTTTACATATAACTAATTTAATCCTCATATGAACCTTAGAAGGTTGTTAGTAGGACTATAATATGTAGATAGTTTTGTCTGGTATTTATTTTACTTAATATTGTTTTGTTTGCATTTTTCTACATCATTTTTTAAAATTTGATTTTTAAAAGCTATTGACATTCCATTATTTGGGTAATATATAACTTTATTCATTTCAATATTGCAAACTTGGCTTGGAAATTTCCCCTGTGGCAAGAAAGAGCAGAGAAGATTCAAAAGATATAGCAGAGGACAGATAAGCAAAAAGTATATTGTATTGTGTAGTTTCTCAATAGTTTCAATTGTGTAAGTGTCTTTCTTTGATGGGTCTTTTGTTATGTTTGTGAATGTGCCAAAATGGCTGGTGATAGATTTGGCACCTATTATGAGCCCTACTGTGTGTCCTCCCCCTTCACCCCCATTCATATGTTGAAGTCCTAGCCCTCAGTACTTCAGATGTGACTCTATTTGAAGATACAGACTTAAAAGAGGTAATTAAGGTTAAATGAGGTCATTGGGATGGGCCCTAACCCATGTGTCTATTTGGAAATAGGACCTTCAAAGACGTGATTAAGTTAAAGTACCTGAGGGTGGGTCATAATCTAATCTGACTGACATCCTTATAAGAAGACGATATTTGAACATGGAGACAGATCCCAGAGGTACACGCACCTGCACAGAGGGACAACCATGTGAAGAGGCAGCAAGTGGCGTGGCCATCTTCAAACCAGAAAGAGTGACCTTGGAAGAAACCAACTCTGCTGGCACTTTGATCTTAGATTTCTAGCCTCTACTACTGTGAGAAAATAAGTTTCAGTTGTTTAAACCACCCCATCTGTGGTATTATGCTATGGCAGCCTGAGCAGACTAATACAGCACCACAGAGCACAAATACAGGTGTTAGCTATCTTTAATTTAGCTATTTCCCCTTTAATTGGCTCAAACAAATTTGCATTGAGGAAAAACAGGTCTTAATAAGCTCTTAGAGCATATGTCTGGAAAGCAGTCAAAGCCACAGACCCAAGCTCTATTTCCATAAGTAATTTAGCCCTAGTTATTTAGTAACAAGACTGAAAGCCTATGGGGAGTATCTAGCAGAAGAAGGGTGACTTTCACAGAGCTGCCTGAGCAGCATTCAGTGTTCTTCAATCCTAGGAACTACTGGACACTGTGGTACCCATGGCCATGGACACCCTTAAACCCATTCACAGTGAGACTCTCAGATCAGTAACAACACAGAGAATAAACTTTCAATAGCCCTGCCTTTCTTTGGCAGAGCTGGGTCTTGAAACAAGCTCTCCTGATACCACTGTTTACTTTTTCACTGCACTGGCTTAAATATTCTGGCATTTGAGTATGTATTAAATACTAATTACGTGACTAGTAAGCACACTGCTTGAGGTAGTACGAGAAGGATCTGAAATAATATTGGCACTTAGTTGAACTTATCCTATTTCTGAAGGAATCCAAAGTCCCAATTGACTGAGATGTCTGACCTTGCCACATTATTATACTGGGTGGTCTTACACATCCTGGAAAATAAGGCCAATTTTTAAATGGTATCTTTTAGATATTTAAAACAACCCTTTTATGACAGAGCTTTGATTACAAACTCATACAAGATAAAGCATATACTATCATTTTTAGATACAGAAGAGATACCGTCAATCACATGTTCACACACACACACACACACATAAACATCCCCTCAGACACTGTTATTGGTTACCCATTGAAGAGTTTAATCACTTTCAACATTGAGAAATATTTTCTTATATAGTTGATCTTAATCTCTAATGCAGCAGTTTATTTCTTCCTTTTAGGTCCTCGGTACAAAGAGGGGACAGCTGGCCCCAATTCTTTTTCCACACACTGGGGGACTTAACATGGTGAAATAGGTCATGCCTGTCGATTACAATAGCAGACTTGAATTTTATATAACTTTGATTCTTTTAACTCCCTGCACCTGGGAAATAGAGGGTAGGGAATAACTGGTGTTTGGCAGGATTTCATACATTGCCCATAAACTTTTCTTTCAACAAAAATTTGTCCTCATCAGATTTGTCATAATTATTTAGCAAAATGTCTAGGGAAAAACACACAAAATAATCAGTAAAATTTCTTCTGTTTGTGATTGAAGAAAACTAATGAAAAAGAGACAACCAAGTCCCTCAGACTCCTCCTGTGTTGTTCATGTTTTGTTAAAAATGTGGTATACGCTTTTTGTTAAATGCTGTTGACCCTTGTGATTCTTGAATTGTTAGCCTTTAGAGTGATAATAAAAGCTTTGGGGGTTGGTTTCTATGCGATAGATTAGTTAGACCAACCCTCCCATTGGTAACAGTTATCAAACTTAAAATTTAAAAAACAAACAACCAATTCTTTGAAGGCATTGAAGAGTGACTAAAAATGGGAGAAACTGGAGCAGAGAATACTTTTGAAAGATGACCTGAAGAGGTGAAACTTGCCATTTTGTGGTTGACTAAAAAATGTCAAGTATAGCAGAAAGACACAACTTTACACACTTGAGGTATGAGATACTACAGTTTGGTATTGTCAGAGTTGGGACATTTGGGAGGAAATCTTGAAAGGGAAGGAACTACAGAGAGGATAAGCCCCAAATTAAATCTGTAATTTGGCTGACCACTAACTGGAGGGGAAACAGAGAGGTCCAGAAAAACAAAAACAAAATGAAACAAAAAAAATGGTGGAAGCTGAAATTACTCAGTTGAGAGTTCAGCAACTGCCAATGTAGAGAAGAGAGTCTGACTATCAAATTAAGTGCCTGCTAGAATTAAAAAAAAAAATCACGCTGCTGGATATGTCTATTAACTGACTGTGGTGACAGTATCACAGGTGTTTGCATATGTGGAGTTACACACAATAAATATGTACAGTTCTTTGTATATCAATTATACCTTAATAAATCTGTTTAAAAAACACTCCACAGATAAACATAACAGAATTTAGGGTCTTTACAATGTATCACTCATAATGTCCAGTATCCAAATAAAAATCAGTAGATATGTAAAAATAAAAGGAAATGTGACCCTAGCTCATGAAAAATCAATGGAAAACAAAACCCTAAGGTGAGGCAGATGTTGCAATGAGCAGATAAAGACTTTAAAATAACATATAAATATGTTTAACTTCTGAAAGATAAATATGTGCACAATGGAGGAACAGATGGAGAATCTCAGCACAGAAATAGAAACAAGAAAAAAAAAAAAAAAAAAGAGCAAAATGGGAATTATAGACCCGAAAAGTACAATAATGGAAATAAAATTGTCATTGGAGGAGCTTCAAAACAGGTTTGAGATAGTATAAGAGTCAGTGGAATTGAAGAAAGATTAATAGAAGTTATTAAATCTAAGGAACAAAGAGAAGTGAGATAGAAGAAACTTGAACAAAGACACAGCTGTCTGTGAGATGATAGCAATAAGTCTAACATACATGTAATTTGAGTCCCAGGAGGCAAGATAAGAGAGAATAGGATAGAACAACAAAAACAAAACAAATTGAAAAAATAATGGCTGAAAACTTCTCAAATTTGCTGAAAAACATCAATTTATGGGTCAAAGAAGCTCATGGACAGAAAGCAGTATAAATACAAAGAAAATCCCACATAGGTACATCTTTGTCAAACTGTTGTAACCCAAAGCTAAAGAGAAAATCTTGAAAGTAGCCAGAGACAAAAAGACACAATACCTATAAGGTAAAGCAACAGAAATGAAGGTAACTTTTCAAAATGTAGGGAAGACAGACTGATGATATCTTCAAAGTGCTAAAGGAAAAGTAAAAAAAACCCTGCTAAAACAGAATTATATATAAGAAAAGTACACTTTACAAATGAAAGTGAAATAAACATATTTTAGAATTAAAGGGCTTCCCTGGTGGCGCAGTGGTTGAGAGTCCGCCTGCCGATGCAGGGGACACGGGTTCGTGCCCCAGTCTGGGAAGATCCCACATGCTGTGGAGGGGCTAGGCCCGTGAACCATGGCCGCTGAGCCTGCGCTCAGCAACGGGAGAGGACACAACAGTGAGAGGCCCACATATGGCAAAAAAAAAAAAAAAAAAAAGAATTAAAAAAGTAAAAGAGAATTTATTGCCAAAAGACCCATACTACTAGAAATGCTAAATGAAGATGTTGAGGCTGAAGGAAAATGACACCAAGTAGCAAGTAGGATCTGTGAGAAAGACTGAATACCTCTTTAAAGTATAAATATGTGTATAAATATACATAAATATATATATAAATATAAAATCTAGAGCTATCTATATAGTTCTATCTATCTATCTATAGTCTTATAAATATAGACTATAGATAGTCTTTCCTTAAAAGACTTAGGATGGTTTAATGTGAAAATTACCACACTCTTTCATGTAGTTTATAATGTTTGTACATATATATGCAAAGCATAATTTCACATAATAGCAATAATAGCACAAAATATTGAGGTGGGGCAATAAATGCAACAAGACTGTTGCAAGATTCTAATATTTTATTTGAGTTAGTACAGGGGTAGCTCTAAGTAAATTATGATAAGTAAATATATTATAATACTCAGAGCAACCTATAGAAATAATGCAAAGAGCTATGGCTAAAAAGCCAATGGAATATTAAATTTTTGGGTAAACCCCCCCCAAAAGCAAAAAAAGGATAAATAGAAGAACAAAAATTGATGATATAAATGGAAAAAAAAACCTCCCTAACTGTTGACTTAAATCCAATCATATCATTAATTACATTAAATGTAAATATAATAAACACTACAATTAAAAGGCAGAGACTATCAGACTGGATACAATAGTAAGACCCAACCACATGTTATCTAC